AAAATGGTTTAAATAGGACATCTGCAGGGCCGGTGCTACCATTAAGGCGAACTAGGCGGTTGCCTAGGGCGCCAAGATTTGGGGGTGCCAAAAAGCAGTGCCCACAATTCCCCCCCCCCGCAGCAGCCCTCCCCCTCCCCCGGCCAGGGGAGCCGTGCGGCAGCTCTCCACCCCAGCTCACCTCTGCTACGCCCCCTCCCCAAGCGCACCGTTGCTGCTCCACTTCTCCCGCCTCCCAGGCTTGCGGCGCTAATCAGCTGTTTGGCACTGCAAGCCTGGGAGGGGAGGAGAATTAGAGCGGGTGCGGCGTGCTTGGGGAGGAGGCGGAGCAGAGGTGAGCTGGGGTGGGGAGCTGCCGCACGGCTCCCCTGGCCGGGGGAGGGGGAGAGCTGCTGCGGGGGGGGGGAATTGTGGGCACTGCTTTTTGGCACCCCCAAATCTTGGCGCCCTAGGCAACCGCCTAGTTCGCCTTAATGGTAGCACCGGCCCTGCAGATGTCCTATTTAAACCATTTTGACACATAATGATTTAATTGAAACTGCTCTGAAATATTTTAAATAAGCAAGTGTATGTCATGCTTGTTCAAACACGTACAAAACAAAACACTCCCAATTCACACTTTTCAAACAATCAAACGCGCACCAAAAAAGAAGCTTACAAGAAGTGGAAGATTGGACAAATGACCAGGGAGGAGTATAAAAATATTGCTCAGACACGCAGAAATGAAATCAGGAAGGCCAAATCACACTTGGAGTTACAGCTAGCAAGGGATGTTAAGAGTAACAAGGAGGGTTTCTACAGGTATGTTAGCAACAAGAAGAAAGTCAAGGAAAGTGTGGGCCCCTTGTTGAATGGGGGAGGCAACCTAGTAACAGAGGATGTGGAAAAAGCTAATGTACTCAGTGCTTTTCGCCTCTGTCTTCATTAACAAGGTCAGCTCCCAAACTACTGCACTGGGCAGCACAGTATGGGGAGGAGGTGGCCAGCCCTCTGTGTAGAAGAAGTGGTTCAGTACTATTTAGAAAAGCTGGACGAGCACAAATCCATGGGGCCAGATGCACTGCATCCGAGGGTGCTAAAGGAGTTAGTGGATGTGATTGCAGAGCCATTGGACATTATCTTTGAAAACTCGTGGCGATCGGGGGGAGGTCCCGGAAGACTGGAAAAAGGCTAATGTAGTGCCCATCTTTAAAAAAGGGAAGAAGGAGGATCTGGGGAACTACAGGCCAGTCAGCCTCACCTCAGTCCCTGGAAAAATCATGGAGCAGGTCCTCAAGGAATCAATTCTGATGCACTTAGAGGAGAGGAAAGTGATCAGGAACAGTCAGCATAGATTCACCAAGGGCAAGTCATGCCTGACTAACCTAATTGCCTTCTATGAGGCGATAACTGGTCTGTGGATGAGGGGAAAGCAGTGGATGTGTTATTCCTTGACTTTAGCAAAGCTTTTGATACGGTCTCCCACAGTATTCTTGCCGGCAATTAAAGTAGTATGGGCTGGATGCATGGACTGTAAGGTGGATAGAAAGTTGGCTAGATCGTCAGGCTCAACAGGTAGTGATCAATGGCTCCATGCCTAGTTGGCAGTCGGTATCAAGCAGAGTGCCGCAAGGGTAGGTCCAGGGGCCGGTTTTGTTCAATATCTTCGTTAATGATCTGGAGGATGGTGTGGATTGCACTCTCAGCAAGTTTTCAGATGACACTAAACTGGGAGGAGTGGTAGATACGCTGGAGGGTAGGGATAGGATACAGAGGGACCTAGACAAATTAGAGGATTGGGCCAAAAGAAATCTGATGAGGTTCAACACGGACAAATGCAGATTAGGACGGAAGAATCCCATGCGCTGCTACAGACTAGGGACCGAGTGTCTAGGCAGCAGTTCTGCAGAAAAGGACCTAGGGGTTACGGTGGACGAGAAGCTAGATATGAGTCAACAGTGTGCCCTTGCTGCCAAGAAGGCTTATGGCATTTTGGGCTGTATAAGTAGGGGCATTGCCAGCAGATCGGGGGACATGATCATTCCCCTCTATTCGACATTGGTGAGGCCTCATCTGGAGTACTATGTCCAGTTTTGGGCCCCACATTACAAGAAGGATGTGGAAAAATTGGAAAAAGTCCAGCGGAGGGCAACAAAAATGACTAGGGGGCTGGAGCACATGACTTACTCATAGACTCATAGACCTTAAGGTCAGAAGGGACCAGTATGATCATCTAGTCTGACCTCCCGCATGATGCAGGCCACAAAAGCTGACCCACCCCCTTTCCCTTGACTCAGCTGTTGAAGTCCCCAAATCCTGTGATTTAAAGACTTCAAGTCGCAGAGAATCCTCCAGCTAGCGACCCCCGCCCCATGCTGCGGAGGAAGGCGAAAAACCTCCAGGGCCTCTGCCAATCTACCCTGGAGGAAAATTCCTTCCCGACCCCAAATATGGCGATCAGTAGAACCCCGAGCATGCAGGCAAGATTCTCCAGCCAGACCCTCATTGACCATTGATACTATTTACCGGCGATGGCACGCTGTTGATTAATATACTAAAATCACGTTATCCCATCAAACCATTCCCTCCATAAACTTATCAAGCTTAATCTTAAAGCCAGAGAGGTCTTTCGCCCCCACTGTTTCCCTCGGAAGGCTGTTCCAAAATTTCACCCCTCTGATGGTTAGAAACCTTCGTCTAATTTCAAGCCTAAACTTCCCCACCGCCAGTTTATATCCATTCGTTCTCGTGTCCACATTAGTACTGAGCTGAAATAATTCCTCTCCCTCCCTGGTATTTATCCCTCTGATATATTTAAAGAGAGCAATCATATCCCCCCTCAACCTTCTTTTGGTTAGGGTAAACAAACCGAGCTCCTCGGGTCTCCTTTCATACGACAGGTTTTCCATTCCTCTGATCATCCTAGTGGCCTTTCTCTGTACCCGTTCCAGTTTGAAGAGAGGCTGAGGGAACTGGGATTATTTAGTCTGCAGACGAGAAGAATGAGGGGGGATTTGATAGCTGCTTTCAACTACCTGAAAGGGGATTCCAAAGAGGATGGATCTAGACTGTTCTCCGTGGTACCAGATGATAGAACAAGGAGTAATGGTTTCAGGTTGCAGTAGGGGAGGTTTAGGTTGGATATTAAGAAAAAAGTTTTTAACTAGGAGGGTGATGAAGCACTGAAATATGTTACCTAGGGAAGTGGTGGAATCTCCTTCCTTAGAGGTTTTTAAGGTCAGGCTTGCCAAAACCCTGTCTGGGATGATTTAGTTGGTGTTAGTCTTGCTTTGAGCAGGAGGTAGGACTAGATGACATCCTGAGGTCCCTTCCAACCCTGATATTCTATGATTCTATGAATTCTTTAGCTTTCATGGTATATTTTAAATACAGCATAACCATAACGACTCCAATCAACGTGTTTCTGGAAAATAGATCCTGTCAAACTAACTTAATATCTGTTTTTTTATAAGATTACAAGACTGGTTGAAAAAGGCAGTAGTGTTAATATATTATACTTAGACATCTCTAAGGCATTTGACTTGGTACCACGTGACTTTTTAATTTTAAACTACACCCATACAGATTAACATGGCACACATTAAATGTATTTAAAGATGGCTAACTGTCAGGTCATGAAATGTAATTGTAAGCAGGGCTTTATCATCAAACAAGTGTGTTTCTAGCGGATTCCTGCAGGGATTGGTTCTTGGCCCTATCTTATTTAACATTTTTATCAGTGACCTAGAAGAATACAGAAAACCACCATTGATAAAGTTTGCAGATGACACAAAAACTATGGGCGTGGTAAATAATGAAGAGGATAGGTTGCTGATTCAGAGCGGTCTGGATCAGTGGTTCTCAAAGTAGGGCCGCCGCTTGTTCTGGGAAAGCCCCTGGTGGGCCGGGCCGGTTTGTTTACCTGCCGCATCCGCAGGTTCGGCCGATCGTGGCTCCCACTGGCCGTGGTTTGCTGCGGAACGGGCCGAGTGACGTGCTGGCCGTCCTTCCTGCAGCCCCCATTGGCCTGGAGCGGCAAACCGCGGCCAGTGGGAGCTGTGATCAGCCGAACCTGCGGACGCGGCAGGTAAACAAACTGGCCCGGCCCAGCCCGCCAGACAGTGGCGGATTAATAATTTTGCTGCCCCTAGGCCGGGAAATAATTGCCGCCCTGGCCCCGCCCTGACTCCACCCTTTTCCCGCCCCCATTCCAGCCCCCGCCCCAACTCCACCCCCTCCCTTCCCCTATTGGATCTCTTCCCCAAATCCCTGCCCCCGGCCCCGCCTCTTCCCCCAGCGCGAGGCGTTCCCCCTCCTCACCCCTCCTTCCCTGCTCCGCGAAACAGCTGTTTTGCGGCGCAAGCACTGGGAGGGGAGAGAAACAGGACGCGGCGGCACGCTTACAGAGGAGGCGGAGGTGAGCTGGAGCAGGGGGGCGGGGCGCGGAGGAGAGCTTCCGCCCCTGCAAATTTGCCACCCTAGGCCTAGGCCTTGTCGGCCTAGGCAATAATACGGCGCTGCCGCCAGGGGCTTTCCCGGAACAAGCAGTGGCCCTACTTTGAGAACCACTGGTCTGGATCACTTGGAGAACTTTGTTTAAGCAACCAATGTGCCTTTTAATACAGCCACTTTTAAAGAAACACATGTAAGAACAAACAGTGTAGGTCATGCTTACAAGATGGGGGACTCTCTCCCAGGAAGTAGTGATTCCAATACAGACTTGGGGGTCATGGTGGATAATATGCTGAACATGGGTGTGATGCTGTGACCAAAAGACCTAATTCAGTCCATAGATGTATTAGCGGAGGAATCTCAAGTAGGAGTAAGGCAGTTATATCACCTCTGTGTTTGGCATTGGTGCAACCACTGCTGGAATACTTTGTCCAATTTTGGGGTCCTCAATTCAAGAAGGATGTTGATAAATTCGATAGGGTTCAGCAAAGAGCCCTGAGAATGATTAAATGATTGGAAAACATGCCTTGCAGTGGTAAGACCCAACGAGTGCCATCTAGTCCATTTAACAAAGAGATAGTTCTAGTGACTTGTTCACAGTTTATAAATACCTGCATGGGGAAAAAAAATTGATAATGGGCTACTCAGTCTAGCAAACAAAGGTATAACAAGATCCAATGGCTGAAAGTTGAAACTAGACAAATTCAGGCTCGAAAAAGTTGCAGGTTTTTTTTTTAAGTGACAGTAATTTAACCTTGGAACAATTTAACAATTTTTAAATCAAGATTGTATGTTTTTCTAAAATACATGATCTCGTTCAAACAGCAGGGAATTCCTATGGCTCGTTTTATACAGGTCAGGTTAGATCAGTGGTGGGCAACCTGTGGCCCGTCAGAGTAATCTGCTGGTGGGCTGTGAGACATTTTGTTTACACTGACTATCTATGTCGTCTTCTAAATTATGTTTGGTAAAAATCTGATTTTAAAATAAAAGTTTTTAGACTATGTGTTTCTTTTTCTTTCTTTCTTTGGTCCCTGGCTGTCTCCACTCTAATTTCATTTTGTCTGTCTAGCTTTCTACTTCCTTTGATCTCAAAGTATTCCTAAAATATTTATATTGTCCACTAGACTTTTTGGAACACCACTGCATAATTTACTGCATATTCACAGCAGCAGATATCTGCAGCAGACTTTTCTAGAGATCTTATTAAAATTGACTATGCAGGAGGTACTACTGAGAAAGCACTTCTGTACAGGGACTCAGCAGTACTATAATTCTTACAGAGTTCCAAATGAAGTTGTCCTGCTGGTGTTAACTGCTACTTTTATAACAAACGCTACGTCAAGATGCATTCCATGAAATAATACATATACTAATTTTTGTCATCCCTAGGTGGGAAAAATCTGTGCACGCAGAAGTGTCCCAATGAGTTCCTAAATGCTTCATTCCTTGCACATCTGTATGATGTCTGTACAGTTCTTTACTAACAGCCCTCAATATAAGGCCTACCTACTTCTCAGAGGTAAGCATTATTAGCAGTTTACATCTGGAAGAATTGAGACAGAGAGGGTAAGGGTGTGTCTACACTACAGAGGAACAGCTATTGGTTATGCAGGAATGCCACTCTAGTGCTGCAGTGTAAATGCTTCCTACAATGACAGAAAGGATCTTTCTATCTGTATGTTATTCCCTGATAACCAGAAACTTCTATGCTCAAACTCTGTTCACTATTTTTTTTTTAACATCATTTTAATAAAATTTTTAAATCCACCTCTCTGAGAAGTGGTAGCTAGGTTGACAGAAGAATTCATCCATTAACCTAGTTGCATCTATACTGTCGTTAGATCAACCTAACTGCGGTGTTGAGGGTGCCAAATTTTTCACAGCGCTGCGATGTAGCTAGGTCAATATAATTTTTAACTTAAACCAAGTCACTGGACTTCTCAATGCAGATGGTCCAGTATGTAATAGGACTTAATAAAAAGCCCATTGAAATCAATTTCAGTTAAATTCAATATTTCAGTTTAATTCAGTGGGCTTCAGGCCAGGACCATAGTTCATCTGATCATGTTGCTTGTTCATGGGTGAATAAACTAGTGCCCTGGGACATACCAAGGTTAATCCTGCACATGACTGCATAAGTTTTTATAACTTCAAGACATGACCATCATTCTCATGATATGCTTTATTAATCTGATAAATATATTCACTACCAAAAGTTGTAGACCTATAATCCAGAAGGTTTCTGTGCTAAAACATAGGGTTCACAGTTGCAATGGCAGATCTTTCTTTCTGGACTAGCATGAGAGAATATTGGCAGCTACAGCATTTTAAAATATAGCAGTGTCATTTTGTGACACAGTTCTCTTGTATTCTTTACAACAGGGATCGGCAACCTTTGGCCCACGGCCCGTCAGGGAAATCTGCTGGCGGGCCGGGACGGTTTGTTTTCCTGCAGCGTCTGCAGGTTCGGCTGATCGCAGTTCCCACTGGCCACGGTTTGCCGTTCCAGACCAATGGGGGCTGCGGGAAGTGGCCCTGCACATCCCTCAGCCCACGCCGCTTCCCAAAGTCCCCATTGGCCTGGAACGGCAAACCGCGGCCAGTGGGAACTGCGATCAGCCGAACCTGCAGACGCTGCAAGTAAACAAACCGGCCCGGCCCGCCAGCGGATTTCCCTGACGGGCCGCGTGCCAAAGGTTGCCGATCCCTGCTTTACAATACGGTAGTTACTTTAGTTTTATTTGATAATGTTGTAGTTTTCTCAAGATATGTTAGCCTGAAATTCCAAGGTAAGGTTCCATTTTGCAAAAATCCTCAAATAATCAGGAGTATGCTAATGCACAGTTTAAATCAATCCAAACAAGAACTACTCTGCTCCCACAGTGGCACTCAGAACCAAGAAAAATTCAGAGACGACCTTTTCCTCTCTTCCCACCGATTCCTTTAATTAAAGGCTTCAAAATTAATACTTTATTCTTAAACTTAGTGAAACTTTATCACAAAGTTTTTGTGGATGTGTATTGCCTGCTCTCACGGTGCTCCACGGGGGTCAAAGTTAAGGTAGTTTGGGTTATCGTACTCTGCATATGCATAATTTAAAATATGTTTGATTTTTGTAAAGTAGAACCTTAACTTACAATTTACAAACATTTTACAAACATTCTTAATGTTTGACAGTGGAGGAGGCAAGGAGAATTAAGAAATCCAGAAACTTAATGTGTAAATGCTGTAAATGATAGATTCATTGTGTTTTTTTGCTTGAGTATTTCCTTAGATTTAAAAAAAATGTTTAAGAATTGCTCAGTAGTAGAAGTACTTGTAAACCTTGGAAGCCAGTCATAGATCCAAGCCCTGTTGGAATGTAAACTGGACCAGACAGCCTCCCACTTCCATAAGTGGCTACCTCCTTCCTATTCCCCACGTTGGCCTTTTATTCTATATACAGCTTTCCCTCTCCCATGGCCCCAATGTAGTTTTCTATTGCTACTCCCTACTTTGCCACTCAATGAGTAATTCTGCTATGACAAACTCATTCTAATAAAAATGATACCATGCCATATCATTATGTATTTTACTCATATAAATATATAGGTATTTTCACGACAACACCTTTAAATATCTCTATAATTCCTACATGCACTCCCTCAGACCTGTGAAAGCTCCTTCTTAACATTGTCTCTCAAAGAAGTGAAATTTGATGTTGCTGGATGCACCTGTTTTAAAGAAATGACCCAAAAGGGAGTTGTGAGAACCTTTGAAAAGTGAATGAAAGGAATTTTTTGAAATGCCCATCTCTCTGAATTTCCTTGTTTGATTTGCCTTAAAAAAAAATAAATAAATAAAATAAAAAAAAGTTACCTTGTAATAAGATGTGAAGGAGACTGTTTTGTTATTGTTATTAATATTGTCTTATTATAACTTATAAGTTCAATTCTGTGAATGAAACTCTCATTTCACTCTTAACTACTGCTCCTTAATAACAAGAAAATGTTTTTCATGGTTATCTCTTCTTGTAGCCACCTGGTTTTTCTTAGTGTTCTTTAAATTAAAAGGCATTTTGAAGTGTGACAGAAATCCTGAAATTAATGTTTGGGCATGATCCTGCAGCTCCATTTGTAATCATTTATACCAAAAAATTAAGATTGGTTGTTAGTAACTGAGTGACTATAATTGTGGTACACAAATTATAAAGACATATAAAGAGAGGCATGTAGCTGTGCTGCTTGAGGAGGAGCCCTGGGAAAGAATTCTTTGGGTAGGGAGTAGGGGGGAAGTAACTTATTGTAGCCCTATACCTGGTGCCGCCCCTTGTACCATTTCATCTCAGTTGGGGGTAGTGGGAGAGGGAATGGAGTCAAGGCTCCACCTACTCCCCACTCCTCTCTGCCTACATACTCTTGGGGTGGGGAAAGAAGGAGAGAATAAGGGGTAGTATTGAGCAGGCACACCTTGCTCTCTCTGCTCTCCACCCCCCATGCCTGGACCTGGGATGTGGGAACCAAAGAGGCTGAGCGCACAGAGTGGGTGAAGGTCTCTTAGGGCTTGTCTACACAGGAAAATTTCTTCATGGCCATGTTAGGACCAGTCACAATCTAGCCCTGGAGTAGGAAGCTTGTTGTACCCATTATCATCCTCAACAATTAGTCAGCTTCCCCTGTGTTTGGGTTGGTCTTTCACATAGCAAAGGAGAGAGGAAAATTATATATAAAACTAAAAATTGATTTTAAAACCAGAACAACTGGCAGGCAACTCAAAAGCAGATGTTGTACTTTTAAGTCATTTCTTGAACTTGACTGGATTGTCTAAGTACAGCTTTGCATTCATTTGGTGCCCATCTCTTAAATACTGTAGTTTTCATTTAAAATGTTTCTTTTGTGAAGTTAAATGTCTTTTTATTTGTTTCCAGGAAATGGCTCTTGAAGTTAAATGAGACTGGATAAAATATATACATGAAGCAGAGGCTGCTCTACATGTGTTAAGGCTAAAATACCAGAAGAGTTTTTGATCAGCCAGACTTGGTAGCTTGTCATAATGAAGAAAATTAGTCTCAAAACAATTCGCAAGTCCTTTAACTTAAATAAAAGCAAAGAAGAAAGTGACTTTGTAGTGGTTCAGCAGCCATCATTAAGTGAATTTGGAAAAGATGACTCCTTGTTTGGCAGCTGCTACGGTAAAGATTTGGCTAGCTGTGAAGTTAACAGTGAAGATGAAAAAGGTGGCAAAAATAGATCAAAAAGTGAAAGCCTAATGGGTACTTTAAAAAGAAGGCTTTCAGCAAAACAAAAGCAGAAAGGGAAAGGCAGCACGCCATCTGTAAGCTCTGCTGATGACGATACCTTTTCTTCCTCATCTGCTCCAATAACCTTTAAAGATGTGAGAGCTCAAAGACCTCTAAGGTCCACATCCCTCCGTAACCACCATTACAGTCCAACACCATGGCCCCTTCGATCGACAAACTCAGAAGAGACTTGTATCAAAATGGAAGTGAAAGTCAAGGCCTTGGTCCACTCCTCTAACCCAAGCCCAGCACTGAATGGTGTTCGAAAGGACTTCCATGACTTGCAGTCAGATAGTGTGTTTCAAGAACAAAACAATACATTAAAAAGTACAGAATCCCAGAATGGGGACCTACATCTTCATATTGATGAACATGTGCCTGTAGTTATTGGACTAATGCCTCAGGACTACATTCAGTATACTGTGCCTTTAGATGAGGGAATGTATCCTTTGGAAGGATCACGTAGTTACTGTCTGGATAGTTCCTCACCCATGGAAGTTTCAACTGTTTCTTCTCAAGTGAGCGGAAATGCTTTTCATGAAGATGAGGGTCAGGTGGATCAAGATGTAGTTGTTGCTCCAGATATCTTTGTGGACCAGGCAGTGAATGGTTTGTTGATTGGTACCACAGGAGTCATGTTGCAAAGCCCAAGAGTTAATCACAGTGATGTCCCTCCACTCTCACCATTGCTACCTCCAATGCAGAATAGTCAAATCCAAAGGAACTTTAATGGACTGAATGGCACAGATGCCCATGTGGCTGAAAGTATGCGCTGCCATTTGAATTTTGATCCTAACTCTGCCCCAGGAGTTGGAAGAGTTTATGACTCTGTACAAAATAGTGGTCCTATGGTTGTGACGAGCCTCACAGAGGAACTGAAAAAACTTGCAAAACAAGGATGGTACTGGGGTCCTATCACACGTTGGGAGGCAGAGGGAAAGCTGGCGAATGTGCCCGATGGTTCATTTCTTGTTCGAGATAGCTCTGATGACCGTTATCTTTTAAGCCTGAGTTTTCGCTCCCATGGTAAAACTCTTCATACTAGAATTGAACATTCAAATGGTAGGTTTAGCTTTTATGAACAACCAGATGTGGAGGGACATACTTCTATTGTTGATCTAATTGAACATTCAATCAGGGACTCTGAAAATGGAGCTTTTTGCTATTCAAGGTCTCGATTGCCTGGATCTGCAACTTACCCGGTGAGATTGACAAACCCAGTATCTCGGTTTATGCAGGTGCGTTCCTTACAGTACTTGTGTCGTTTTGTTATACGTCAGTATACGAGAATAGACCTGATCCAGAAACTGCCTTTGCCAAACAAAATGAAGGATTATTTACAAGAAAAGCACTACTGAAAGCTTATGGGAATCTTGCATCTTGCACTTTGGGAACAAAAAAAAAGATTGAAATACAGTTTACAAATTTTCATTGCTATCAAAATCTTTTGCTGCCATAACAATGTTTCATTTTTGTGTGTAAAGAAGGGTAATGCATCTTTTTTGTTTGTTTATGTTTGGTGTTTTTTGTTTGTTTGAGGGGGCTTTTTTTTTTTTTAAAAAGAATGATCACAAGGTTTTTAGAAGTGTGAAATAGCTATCTTTCATCAATGTGCAGAAAATAATCACAATGTGAATGATCAAATTCTCCTTAATTTCCCCAAGTGCTGCTATCCACTGTGATTTTTATGCATTGAGTGCATTTCATGTGTATTCAACCATAAGTAAAAGTGAAATGAAACTCGTAGAATGGAATTTTTGTCATCTTAAAATGGCCTATTTTATAAAGATAATTGTGGACAAAACATACAGGTAGATAAATTACAGAATTTAGGTATACAGTGAAAATGATTTTCCAGCATGCTAAATAAACATCTCCATAGAACTGCCCTAATTTAAAACTTATTAATTGATGTAGCTGTGTGATGGAATATAGTTATGCAGCATATCTTTGGAAACCTCCTTTCTCCTAAATGATTTCATAGTTTGTACTCGCTATTTTGCCTTTGAGAAATTGGGTTGAATTTTCTTTTTCTTGGAATTTCCTTATAATTTTTTCTTCTCCTTTTAAAAACAGCCTTTAAAAACAGTTTTGAAAAACAGTACAGAGCATCAATATGGAAATTGTAGTATTTAAAATTATGCTAAACATGGATTACTAATGATGATATTGTTGAAATTTTTTTTTACAAATCTCCCTAATTGTAGGAACTATCAATTAAAGTGGTAATGTGACAAGACTTCTGAAAACCAATTTCTACACTACAGTTGGTTTTTGGGTTCCACTCCCCCTTTTTCCTCTTGCATTTTGATATTTAGTATTTGATTCTGGGATTTTTTGGGGAGTAGGGGAGGGCTTAAACAAATGATCCCTAAGGCTGCATTTTTTTTAACCTTTGTATATTTGAAATTAGTAAGAGAAGGGGTTTTGGTTTAATACAGTGGCCACAGAAAAGGGCTTTGTTATTAACAGTCTCAGGCACTGTCATGAAAATTGTCTGTTTTGACATAAAGGTATCATATCAATTTAGTAAATATTTCTAACATCTGACAAGGATAGTGGCATTTAAAAAGTCTATGGGGAGCCTGACCTTCTAAAAGAGATTTCTGAATTGGGAGACTGGGTCCTAGATTGCAAAGTTTTCCTTGTGCAATATTCATCATATTGGTTTTTCACTTTATAGCTATATTACATTTGTGCTTTCAATTTTAAAGATGACCATGACTAAATTTGTTTTTTGTTTTGTTTTTAAATCAATGTTATATTTTTTAGCATGTCACCTTCTCCATCAGCAGTTGGTAGAAGTTGCAATTTAGTAAAGACCAACATAGAAAAAGGCTGGGATAAATCCTTTTTGGATCATTTTCTTCTGCTTATTATATCTAGCTTTTTTGCCCCCTGAAATGAGTTTGTAGCATTGGATACACTATTGCTGCAAAGTGCTACAGTAGCACTACATCTTGTGTTGCCTGAATTGATATGCTAAATTTATATATTTTTTTAATTTATTTTTTGGACCACAGTATTTAAAAAAAATAAAAAAATCAAAGGCAGATAAAGCCTGTCTGTTCTGAGGGATAGAGGATGATGATTTCTTCTTTTGTCCAATAATATTTTTAAACTTAAAAAAATATTCTCAGCAAAGTATATATGTTTAATTTGTTGTTTTTGCCATTCATATATATTTATGCAAGCTTGAATCCAGATTTCTCTCTTCTGGAGGTTTTTTCTTCTTCTTTGAATCAGGGCTACAAACTTTATTAAAAAAGGCACAATAATCTTATAGCATGGTACAGTGGTCTGATTCTATCTGAGGGGAGGACAGAGGAAATCATTTTTATGGAATATGAAACATACTTGTTAGGAATGAAACCTCTCACATTTTTTTCACTTTAAAAGTTCTTCTCCCACACAATCCAGAGGGACTGTACATTGTACAAAGTCTCTAGAATGGTGTAGTACATTAGGCAATGATATAAAATTAGTGAAATATATCCCAGTGTTTAACAAACTTAAAGATGCATTTAAAATATGCTGTGTGCATAAGTATTTAATGGACCTTGCATAAGGGCTTAAACATGTGAAACTCTAATATCCCAATTTCATTGCTGTATTCAGAAAATGTATATGAACTTGTGTGCTAAGTTTCTTTTCCATGTCTTCATTTATTTGTTTGGTCACCTATCAGAGTTGGTCACTTCTGAAATACTACTTTTGGTTAAATTCATCCAGTCCATTTTGAGTTGCCTTCCTTGCTATGTACTTTAATTGTAAACTTAGTAAAAGGCCCAGTTCTAATTGCCTCTTTTTGATGAGCTTTCCATAGGTTTGATTAAAAGGATCCTGACAAGTAATTTAGACCTAAGAGAAGACCTGCCTACAATTTTTTTGTAATCTGATGCTGTAATGTCCTAAATTTCAAATATTTTGAAATCCACCATTCTGTAAAGACAGATTTTTTTAAATGCTGCTGGATTCAGAATCTCTCTGTTTGATACTGAAGCAGTCTTCCAGTTAATAGAAGGAGCACAAATTAAGAAACCCTGTTTTGACAACATTGACTTATAGTTGCTTATTATAATGATTACTGTGACCGCGACAGTAATGTTGTTTAGTTACAAGGCAACTGAAAATTATTAAAGGGCAACAACTGTAGTCAGGAAAGACGGTCTTCGTTTGTGCTCCATAACAAATAGAGGAACAAAATCTGTGTTTGCCAAATGGAAGAAAACAAAAATGGTAGATTGAAAAAAGTTATTTTCAGGCCTTTAAAAGAAGATAAAGATTAAATAAAAATAAAATAAAAACAACTTAATTCTGTTCCTTTAAAGTAAAACAGTGTTTATTTTATTCAGCACAACAGTCAGAGTTGCAACTGAATTATTGGAAAATGTATTTGAGGATGAAACTTTGAAATAAAATTGATTTCTGAAGCTACAAGATGATGATGGAAGTTATTGGTGACACTGGCTGGTTAACTAATTAGAAGAATAAAACTACAGCTTGTATTTTGATACTATGTCAGAAAGTTTTTTTTCTGATTCTTACAACTGTGTTAATTGAAGTTAATTGAACAGCAAAATTGAAGTTTATTTATATTCTTTGGTCAGGTTGCAGGTCCCTTATGCTGCTGATGACATAAATCAATACCATCTTTTTTATCAAGATGGCTTCCACCATTAGTAGCCTTAGAAATGCTATTATTAATTAGAAATTTTATTTTCAAATATATACATTTCATATTCTGATCATGCTAAGAGGTGCTTTTATATGAACATTGACTGCTGGGCTAATCAAAATATGATCCATTTTTCTTTTCTGCATTTCATAATGAGTGAATTATGGATATGTAAATTAAATCATAATACCAGCAATATATTGCCTGTGATTCCAGTAAGGAATGGTTCTCAGTTACATAATTTTTAAATTCTAAGCTTAATGATGGGTACAATATTGATTGCCAATCTTATTTCTTTTAATACTTTTTAAAATTCTACAAAGAAAAATATTAAAAACCATTCTTTATTAATAGACATGGGATAGTTAATAGCTCATAATATCACAAAATATTATGGAGTTTGCTGTATCTGGAAAGTGTTCTAAACCCTACACACGGATAATGAAAAAAATTCTTACAGAATTTTGTATTAATACATGTTGGGTTAAAGAATTTTATAGTGGTGATGGAGTGCCATGAAATTAATACTTGCAATCCAGATTGCTGTAGTTTACATTTTTCTGTATGTTTCAAGCTAGGTGTGCGTTATTTGTACTAAGCACACCACAGAATGAATTATCCAAAGTCCATTGATTTTAATGTGTTTTGGTTTGTAAACAAAATTATAGTAATTTCTTGCACATTTTTGAAAAATAATTGTATAAGGATTTATGTATCTGCTTCTAGATACAGTGTGTAAATAAAAATTTCATTCACAAAAGAATCTGTGGAGTATTCAATTAACAAAATGAAATCCTGAAGCAAATATTGAATTGGGGAGGGGGGGGGGTGGATAGCTGACTTAGCTCAACATCTCACTGATACTGATGTATCATTTGCTTGCCATCAGAATATAGCTGCAATTTTTCCTGCTACTAACTCTCCTAACAAAGTGCTTGTATCTCTGGCTATCATTTTTGCTTTCCAGAATGTTGCCAGTATATAATTAAAATGTGCTGTCTATTGAGCATTCACACACGCACACTTTAGATCGCTTTTGCTATCACTGTTTCCTGTAGTTGTGCTGCTTTTTATGTTTTAGCATAAACACTCCAAAAAAGCCTGCCTTGAAAGGTGCTATGCCTTTTTTTTTCTTTCTAAAAAAAGTGAGAGTTCATAATTTTCAGGAAAGCCATCAAGTAGTTGGAGTGTGAGCTCCAAAATTGAAGTTAAAAATGTACAAAATACATAATCACTAGTTTATTGGGTGCTATTTTGGTTAAATTAAGGTAGTAGGATGTTTTCAAGTCAGGGAATACGTACATAATTCCAGAAATATTACAGCATTAACAATTTGTTTTATATAAATAATTTGTATGTTTATAAAAATGATATACATAACAAGTTTTCATTTTTTTTTGTTTTCTCCCTATAGACTTGATACTCAGTTTCCCAAAACCATAGCTTTAATATATGTTTCAATGGCTTTTTCTCTGTTGTTATTAAAATTCCATTTAAAAGAAAATACATTATTGTAGCAGCTAATACTGTCAATCTCTGAGCAGGTGTGGGGCAGGGTTGAAGAAACTTTCCCTTTGTTGAGGTCAAAGGTGGTTGGAACTTAAAATTCCTATTTAGCCACTGCTATTGCAAGAATCGTTTGGGATTTGATTATATATTGACAAATATAGTTGCATATTTCTGCCTGTCTGCTAAGTCAGCTGCTGTTTTTGTTCACGTGTTCTAGTTGATTTTAAAGGTATAGTGTGATATATGATTGTGTTGTCTATCTACATCAAGTCCTTTACACTTTGCTTTTAAAAATACCA